ATGGTGATGGCTAGCACGAGGGGACATAGCTTTAAATTGAGGGGTGACAGATAAAGGACAGATGTCAGAGGTAGGTTCTTTACTCAGAGAGTAGTAAGGGCGTGGAATGCCTTGCCTGCAAAAATAGTTGACTCGCCAACTTTAAGGGCATTTAAATGGTCATTGGATAAACATATGGGTGATAATGGAATAGTTTAGGTTAGATGGGCTTCAGATTGGTTTTCACAGGTCGGCGCAACATCGAGGGCCGAAGGGCCTGTACTGCGCTGTAATGCTCTATGTTCTAATATATTTCCAATTCAGGATAGTGAGTGGTTTGGAGGGGAATTTGAAGGTGGAACTATTTCCATATATCTGCTACCCTTGTCCTTCTAGATGCAAGTGGTAATGGGTTTGGAAGATGCTGTCTGAGGACCTTTGGTGAATTTCTACAGTGTATCTTGTAGAGAGTACACAATGGGGCTCCTGAGCATCAGTGGTGGAGGGAGTGGACACTTGTGGATGTGGTGCCAATCGTGCCAGCTGCTTTGTCCTGGATGGTGTTAAGCGTCTTGAGCGTTATTGGGGCTGCACTCATCCAGGCAAGTGGAGAATATTCCATCACACTCCTGACTTAGGCCTTTTTGACGGTGGGAAGGCTTTGAGGAGATGAGTTAATCACCGCAGTACTCCTAGCCTCTGACCTGCTCTTGTAGCCACTGTGTTTATGTGAGGAGTTCAGTTGAGTTTCTGGTCAATGATAACCACCAGGATGTTGATAGTCGGGGATTTAGCAACGGTAACATCATTGAATACCAAGGGGCGGTGGTTAGGTTGGCTCTTATTGGTGGTCATCATAGCCTGGAATTTGTGTGGGGTGAATGTTACTTGCCAATTGTCAGCCCAAGCCTGGACATTGTTCAGATCTTGTTGCATTTGAACATGGACTGCTTCAGTATTTGAACAGTTGCGAATGGTGCTGAACATTGTGCAATCATCGGCGAACGTTCCCACATCCCTATTTCCTGAGTTCAGAGAAGCCTGGATGTCTAGGACAATTAAGGACTGATGCAGAAGATGACAGGGGCTTTATGAGGTCCAAAAGGGGCAATTTAGCTGTGGCTGTAGATGAATACAGCAAGTGCAGGAGGGAATTTAAGAAAGCAGAGTTCCAGAGGACTGCAGGATGGCTAATGTGGTTTCACTTTTTAAGAAGGGTGGGCGAGATGAACCAGGAAATTACAGACCAGCGAGTCTCACATCAGTGGCAGGGATACTATTGGAGAAAATTCTGTAAGAGTGAATTATACACCCACTTGGAAAAGTATGGGTTAATTAGAGCCAGTCAATGTGGTTTTTCAGAGGAAGATCATACCTAACAAATTTGTTAGAATTTTTTTGATAATGTGATCAAGTAGGTGGATGAGGGAAGTTTAGTTGATGCAGTTTATATGGATTTTAGCAAAGCTTTTGACAAGATCCCACATGGCAGACCTATTGAGAAGGTTAAAGTACATGGAACTGAGGGAAACTTGTCGAGATGGATCAGAAACTGGCTTAGTAATAGGATACAAAGGGTAGTGGTGGAAGGCTGTTTGAATGGCTGGAGGCCGGTGTCCAGCGGCGTACCACAAGGATCAATATTGGAACCCTTATTGCTTGTTATATACATAGATGATATAGATGAAAATGTGGGAGGAATGTTAAGCAAATTTGCAGACGACACCGAAGTTGGTAGAATGGTTAATAGCAAAGAAGATGGTTGTAGGTTACAAGAAGATATAGATGGGTTGGTCAGATGTTCAGACCAGTGGCAGATGGTATTTAACCCTGCTAAGTGCGAGGTGATGTA